CAAATAAAGCCACATTACGACGACTTAAGTGCCCTCTGCAATTAGGAAAAGAAATACGATTTCCTTACTTAAATCCAATCTCTAAAGAAGAAAGTGATTATATTAAATCACAAACAATTTTTAAAATAAACTTATTATCTCAACAGATTAATTACTTAAAAATGATATAAAAGTTCACAAAATTGAACAAACTTTAAAAACCCCGGAAGTAGAAGATAAGATTAAACTATTTCAGCAAAAACTTGAACTAGAAGTTTGTTCCGATTTATCTACAGCCTTTTGGGAACGAAAAAGGCATATAGTCCACCTACCTTATATAAAGGAATTTAATGAACAAAATATACCTACTAAGGCAATACCTATTCAAATGAATCATGACTAAATGGAAGTCTGTAAAAAAGAAATAAATGATCTTCTCCAGAAGAAGATAATTAGGCCTTCCAAATCCCCTTGGAGCTGTGTAGCCTTCTACGTTAACAATAACGCAGAAAAAGAAAGAGGAGCCCCTAGGTTAGTAATCAATTATAAACCTTTAAATAAAGTACTACAATGGATCAGATACCCGATACCCAATAAAAGAGATTTATTAAAAAGAACTTATAAGGCTTATATTTATAGCAAATTCGATATGAAATCAGGTTTCTGGCAAATTCAAATTGTCGAAGAAGATAAATATAAAACTGCATTCAATGTCCCATTTGGACAATATGAATGGAACATAATGCCTTTTGGGTTAAAAAATGCCCCATCTGAATTTCAGAATATAATGAATAATATATTTAACCCATATAGTAACATGTCAATAGTTTACATTGACGACGTATTAATATTTTCAGAAGATATAGATTCCCACTTTAAGCATCTTAATACATTCTTTAAAATAATAAAGCACAACGGACTAGTAGTCAACTCTAAGAAGATAAGGTTGTTTCAAACAACCATTAGATTTTTAGGACATGACTTATATCAAGGAACCTACAAGCCAATTTGTAGAGCCATTGAGTTCTCGTCCAAATTTCCCGATGAAATCACAGATAAAACGCAACTTCAAAGGTTCTTAGGAAGCCTCAACTACGTAGCAGACTTTAACCCTAATATTAGAAAAATCTATGAACCCCTTTATAAACGTCTCAGGAAAAAGAATTACTATGGACAGTGAGGCTATAAAGGTTTGGTTTAGGTACTGATAGATCTAATTTTGGAGGAATAAAGTATACTAAATAGTTTGAAATTGATACTATTATGGACTAGTTCTATGATTAAATATAAATACCTTTTTATTTACAAGATTTTTGGACTAATTTAAATTACTCATAACATGGGTAAATATAAATCCACAAATTAAGACTCAAACATGAATCCCGATGATTGAGTTTTCTAAAATAGCTATGAATTAGCCTAAGTAAGGAAATAAATATGAGATCGATATTATGTAATTATAGATTTGGAGGAATTTGTACGCATTGCTCGAGGTGAAGCATTTGGTATTTTGGCACGAGTATTGTGAGTAGTAATCTTACCGAAATTTGTGTTTTCATAACTTGCATGATTTACACATGATTTTTAATGTGAATATGTTGCCGATTATTTTAAGTTGCACGTGGGACAAGTCTTTTACTCGATATGATACCGAAATAGTTATTTGAGAAGATTACCGTTGTTTTAAATATTTTCGTTGTCACTAGATCTGTTTTACCGTTACTTGAATTTACTGTTATTGAAAAGAAATTATATGATTGATAAGAACCGAAATGCCCTATATTGTTTTAAAATATTTTCTATGAGTATATGCGGATTACAGAGACATGTATAAATGAGAGTAGACATTGAAGGATCCCGCAACTAACGGCGTGTTCGTTAGACCTGGTGCACCTTGCAATTACAGATTACCGTTATAGCCCTCGCTAGTGGAAAGGTAGAACTAGCATACCGTTACCGATTTCCCTCGAGTAGGGACTACCGTTATATTTGACTTCTTGCGAAGAAGTCCACAGTTATACCGATTACATGATTCATTCATTGAAAACTCCCAAATGTAAATATTGATATTAGACAGTGGTTACCGAGCTTATTACCGAACTGTTAATTGTATTATACTACAAGAAAAGCATGACGAGACTGAAAATTATTTATTTTTTCTGAAAGGGCATTTTTATGTTATTTTCTGTTTGATATACTAGCATGTTTCCTGACTTGTTCCCAATAAAAACGGTTGTGGTTAAGTGTTATTACTCACTGAGCTAGCAAATCATTCCTCGCTATTTTTTTTACAGAGACAGCAGTTGACGCATGCGAGAATTTCGTTAATTAGAGCTCACAGGTTGATATTTCTCGGTGAGCCTCGCACTTGTTCGCGTGGGCAGAGAATTTATTTATTGTTATAGTCTTTTCATTGAACTCTTAGAGTCATTCCATACTCATTATTTTAGTGTCGTGAGTATTCTTTTGTTATTATAGTCTTATATTGAGTATCGTTCTCATTTATCAAAGTTGGAGCTAAATTAGTATTTCTAGTGGTTAGTTGGTGGTTTAGTTATGGTGAAGACTTGTATTGGTTAATTGACAAGTTGTCAATTGTTTGGTATGATATTAGGATGTTTGGTTGTTGATTTGAGACAGGAAATTTTTTGGGATGGTCCAAAAATAGGGGAAACATTGTCCGATTTTCTGTAAAATTACCGATGAGGCTTACTTGGGAGCACTTGCTCCTAAGCGCCAGTCACAATCCTAAATTGGATCGTGACAAATAATTATTGCATTATAGGACATTTTGGGTGTGTGACACACACGTGATCAATGGAGAGGAGTATGAGTTTACGTGAACCATAGCTACGCCCATCGGTTGGAAATGGCATGGAATGGTTCCAAAAAATGCTTGCTATAAAAGTCATTTTCCACAAATTTCCGGAAATTGTGTTCTTAAGGAAAAAAAATCAATACATTCGAGCAAACCAAACATATAAAAATTTAAAACTATGTTTCTATTAAATGTTCCCTCCCTACCAAATACACCATTGGATGCATATGATTCTGAATGTGTATTATTCATGCAAATATTCAATTGTTACGAAGTTGTAGACTATTGGGTTTTAATTGTAGGTTTATAGACAACATGCTCTGCTCATCGTATGTTTTTATTTATTTTACTTTTTTTTGATTTCTCACTCGGTATTCGATACCCACATTGGGGTCCGACTAATTTGGAGTCGCGCGCCGAGAAGTCCCACATTAACTATCTATCTCGATGTGCTTTTATCTCAAGCTCTTTAAATATCTATTGATGTGGTTTGTTTAATATATTTTTTGGCAATTGTCTTGCTTATTGTATTTTTTTTCTCCCTCCAATCCAACAATCTTCTGGTTGAGTTCTATAACGTTACATGTTATCCAAACATAGTAAGTTAATACTACTCCATTGGTAATGAAATACTTCTAATGTGTCAAAATATTTTTTTCTTTAGAAAAATATGATAATCATTAATTTGGAAATTAATCCATTTGAAGCCCATTGTACAATGAATACTAGGTAAGAAAAATTATAGAGTATAGTCGCTCCCAAAAATATTAGCCGATTAAATATATATTATTTGTATATTAATAGATAATATACATGTTTTTATATATTTGGCTCGAGAATGTAATTATTTTTGGCCGAACAGCCAAATATGTGACTTGTTGCTCCCATCTCAGGTATAGGGAGTCAATTACTGAAATGATTACTTAATCATCTGAAATTACCTAGTAAATATATGTTTCTTTTGTTTATAACGAAAAAGTCGTATAACACTTATAAGTCATTCAACCAAATTTATAAATTTTGGGTGGGCAAATACCTATTTACGCCCCCCCCCCTTCTCTCTCTTTTAAATTTTAATATTATGATATGTTTTTCTTTTATCTGTATCATATCGACTTACCATAAAATAAAAAAATGTTATATAATAAAGTAAAAATAACAGACATTTTTCAAGCATATAATATTAGAATAACATAAATGAGCACAATAAAAGATTTAATTAGGATAATCTATTTGTATTAGTTATTTTGATAACAATATTAAGAACTCAAAATTTATTTACGCAATTGAGATTGGAAAAGAATAAAAGCTATTCGAACATACAGTCCATGCATATAATACCAAAAAATAATTAGTCACAATACAAATATATTTTATTAAATATATTATATACGTTTAAAACCTATACTCAACTATTTTATTATTTCAATATTATAATACTTGAAAAGTAATTTTTACTTCTTATTTTATAAATAAATTTATTTGTGTTTATAGGTACACTCATAATATAGATTAAAAAGGTTTATTTCTTTTTATACTATTGCATGACGTGGGGCTATTGACATAGGCATGCCACGGCCGACCTTGTGCCATAATGGCGTGTCATGACCGACTTTGTACCATTGATATGGCATGCCATGGCCGACTTTGGGCGATTGACATAGGCATGCCACGACTGACCTCAGACCATTGACATAGGCCTTGGCCTCGCACGAGACACTCAAAAAACCTCTATTTGCGACATTGTCGCTCTTGGCTTGTGCCTTGGCATCACACGAGACACCCAAAAAAAACCTCTAGTCAATAAAAGAGTGCAAAATTAATGGAAGACAAGTATTCGCTTAAAAAATTTGAAAAAGATTTTGCAATTTTTTTTCTAAATATTCTTTCTAGGTGTTTGATTCAAAAATAGTCTTTGCAAAAAGCAATAATATTCTTCCAAAATCTCTTCTTCTAATTTTGCAAGCAGACGTCACCATCTGAAAAGCAAATTAAAAACAAATACGTAATATAGAACCAAATTGAAAAGCAAAGTTCAACTGCGTGTAAAATCCGTATAAAAGCGATTTAGAACCAATTCGTACTGTAGTCACCGCCAAAAGCGTCGCCTGACATATACAATCTGTAGAAATGAAGGAAAAAGAAGAAAAATAAAGAGAAGAAAAAAGAAAAGGGAGCAAAACTTAAAAAATAAAAAGAATTGGAATTACAAAAGGAACCAAAAGCAAATTATTCGATCTTTTGGGGGGAAGGAAAAAATAAAAAATTCAACAGACACAAAAATATTTATAGAATTAGGGTTCTCTATTTAGCTTTCTCCATCTTGCCTTTTCTCAGTTATATATTCCTCCTCTCAGACTCAGAGTCGTATATCGCTCTACAAAACAAACGTGTTGATTACTCAAAGCACTTCATTGGAATTCGATTGTTCTGATTATACTGATTTGGGACTTTTAATAGATTGTGATTTGGGGATTTTAGTTGAAATCAATAAAGATCGCATCTTTTTTATCCCTTTTGCATAAAAACCGTTTCAATTTTGTGAATTAGGGTTTCTGATATACGACGATGATATCTGAATCGGAAAGTGTCTGATCGCCGATTTAATTAAATCGGCGAGGTGATTCGCAGTTTTGAAGGGGGTTTTGGGTTTTGTATGGAAACTCGGAGCCGGAAGCGGGCGGAGGCCACCTCATCAGCGCCTTCTTCATCTTCTTCTGCTGGTCCCACCACCCGTGCCGCTAAGCGTGCTCGTCTCTCCTCCACTGCCGCCGCTACTTCCACCGCCAATTCAACTCCCGCCGCCGCGTCTGCATCGATCTCAATTCGTTCTCGCATCTCAACTCGTTCCCAGGACTCATCTACACCCATGGACTCCACAAACGAATCTTCCGGGTCGGGTACCCGAACCCGCCGTGGTAAGAACCCCAGTCATGGTTCCGATAAAGATAATAATAATTTGGATAAAGGCAAGGAGAAAGAGCATGAAGTTAGGGTCAGGGATAAGAACAGGGATAGGGATAGGGATAGGGAGGCTGAGAGGAGTCTAGGATTGAACATAGATTCTGGTGGTGGTGAGGACGATGATAATGATAGCGAAGGCGGTGTTGGTATTTTGCACCAGAATTTAACTTCAGCAAGTAGTGCACTTCAAGGACTTCTTAGGAAACTAGGTGCTGGATTGGATGATTTACTCCCCAGCTCTGCAATGGGGTCTGCGTCTTCGTCCCATCAGAGTGGTCGGCTCAAGAAGATATTGTCCGGTTTAAGGGCGGATGGTGAGGAAGGGAAACAAGTAGAAGCTCTGACTCAGCTGTGTGAGATGCTTTCTATTGGAACGGAAGATTCACTGAGCACATTTTCCGTCGACTCGTTCGTACCTGTGCTTGTTGGGCTGCTGAATCACGAGAGCAATCCTGACATTATGCTTCTTGCGGCCCGGGCTCTTACCCACTTGGTTGATGTTCTACCTTCTTCTTGTGCCGCTGTTGTCCATTATGGAGCCGTATCATGCTTTGTAGCTCGGCTGCTTACTATTGAATACATGGACTTGGCTGAGCAGGTGAGTGAATTAGTTTTACGCGGAACATTTATGTGTCCTCCAAAGGAAAAAGAATTCATGGTGATACTCCCAGCATAGTTCATCCATAACTATTATTCACAATCCGAAAATTATAATCCTTGCTTAACTAGGCCTAGGCCGTGAATGAAATTACCTTAAGTGCAACTCTCTGTTTCTATGTGGAACCATTATGCTTATTTGCCAAGGACTGGCCTTTCTAGCTGTAGTGCTAATGTTTCACCTTTGACAGTCTTTGCAAGCTCTAAAGAAGATATCTCAGGAACACCCGACTGCTTGCTTGAGGGCTGGTGCGCTGATGGCTGTGCTTTCTTATCTCGACTTCTTTTCCACTGGTGTTCAGGTAGAAAAATCCCTTTCACGGTTTTGTGGAATCTTTGAATATCTTGTATCATGATTTTGATGGGAGTTCAGTTTTAGTGAAATAAGAAACTTCCAGCTCCTTTAGTACATATACAATTTTTTCTAACATCTTTCGTTCTTTAACAGAGAGTAGCATTAGCAACTGCTGCTAATATGTGCAAGAAGCTTCCCTCAGATGCTGCTGACTTTGTCATGGAAGCTGTTCCGCTTTTGACAAATCTCCTTCAATATCATGATGCAAAGGTGAATTCATTATCATGTTATGCTCCCGTTGCAGGAAGATATCTTCTCTTCTCTGGCCCCTCCTAGTTTGGTTAAACTTCACTTTTGTTTTTTTAATGTTTTCTCTTGGTGCTTGGACGTGTCTGCAGGTATTAGAGTATGCTTCCATCTGCTTGACCCGTATTGCCGAATCATTTGCATCATATCCCGAGAAGCTAGATGAACTTTGCAATCACGGACTTGTTACCCAAGCCGCATCGCTCATCTCAACCAGTAACTCTGGAGGTGGTCAGGCTTCACTCAGCACGTCAACCTACACAGTACGTTTAACTCTTCCATATGTCGGGCATTTACAATCTTGATAGCTGTATTCTGACTTGATAACGCTTGTAGGGTTTAATCCGGCTTCTTTCGACATGTGCCAGTGGCTCTCCACTAGGAACTAAAACTTTACTGCTGCTTGGTATCACTGGAATTCTCAAGGATATTCTATCAGGTTCTGGTCTTGTGGCCTCTGTGTCTGTTTCACCTGCCTTGAGCAAACCTCCGGAGCAGGTATATATCGTACTTTTAGTTTTCATTCATGCTATAATTGCTAGCATTTTCTTGTCTTGTAAATAAATTGTCACAAGTAGCTCATGTTGGGTAGAAGAAATATGTAGCATAGAAAGACAAAGTGACTTTTTAGTATGTTTTGCCTGCGGATATAGTGTGTTGGAAAATAATTGGATTAAAAAAGGTTAGATTCTTTTGCTATACTTCGTAGTCTTAAGTTAGCTCGATTCTTTTGCTATACTTCGTAGTCTTAAGTTAGCTCCCTTTCTTTTGCGGGTCAGTTTGTCTGTAGGAGGAAAGAGATGTTCTATGAGAAGTTTCTCATGCTTGATAGGAATACACCAGAAATTATATGTGGAGCTTTCCAACTCTACATTTCATTTTTTGATAAAGTTCCAGCATTACATTTTTTATGTCACGTAGATGGAAACTTCGCTTGCCCACCAAAGAGATAAAGTAACAATAATAGGAACAAGATGAGAAGAATGCCTAGTAGACGACCCCCCACTCCTGACCTTATCTCGGTGAGCTGCTGATCCTACACTTTGTTCTAAGAGCGCAAAACACCAATTTTAAAAAATAAAGCCTGTTCTTGCCAAATATTGTTTCATTTATGTATCAATCCCACAAGGACTGGAATAGTTATCAAATAATTTATTCTTGGTAGTTGAAAGCAATTAAAATCCAATAACTTTGTTCTAATGTCCAAAAAACAAATATTTAAAATGATCTATATTTTTGAACCAAGATTAAAGAGAATTATTGGAGGAAGAAGGAGAGACTTTCTTTTTTGATAAGGAGGAAGAAGTATAGACTTATATAGTTTGTTTAGATTTTACTCCTTGATTAATACATATATCTTTTTAGAATAAATATTGATTACTTCTCATGAGTATAATCGCCTATTCCGATCACCAATTATTCTGAGTCGTCTCTCGAATAACTATAGCATAAAGATTCTAAAAACACATTAGTAGTTCAATTTGTGTATGTTTATAGTGATGGATTTTAGATAGCAATGTAGCTTCTCCTGAATACTCCAATTCCAATAACACATTAATAATTCAAATAAAGTAGGATTAGATCACCATTATTGGAACTGATATTGGTGAATTTTTTAGCTGAAAGAGAAATTTTGTTTTTAGCTTCAACTCGGTGGATAATAAGCCTGCCCCTTCTATCCTTCTCCCCCTTAAATACCAAACGTTGTTCAACTGGCAGGATTCGAAGTCGCGACATACGATTACCACATGTCCCCTCTATACTATCTTTGACTTTGAACTGAAGCTCCGAGGACAAAAATCGGTGAACATGTTGATAAGTACAAAATTGTTGATAAGTATCTATTTATCATTTTTCCCTCTGCTGTTATACTTCCTGTACAGCCTAAGGAACTTTGCTGTTAGACTTGAAGAAGTACAATAATTCACAAGTGTAGTTTTTAGAATTTTTTTCCTTTTCATTACAAGTGCATTATTGAATATTCAAATGTATATTCCTAGAATGTGAATCACGTAAAAATTGGTAAAACAATAATTAAGGTTTAGGACAGACCCTTGGTTTTCTTATTAAATTTTATTAGTAGTTGAAGACTCAAATTGTTTGTCACTGAGATCAGTTAAACATTAGTAGCATAAATATGGCTTAGTTTTCTGAAATATTCAAGAGCTTTCAGTTGTAATTTAGATAGCACTTGGATCGTGTTGTGAACAACATTGCTTTAATTTTTTTGTCTAATGTGTTATTCCTCTAGTTGACTATTATTTTGTGAAATAAGATGACAATCTTCCCGCTTATTGGTTAAATGATCCTCTTGTTTCAAAGACAGTCTGGTTTCACTAGCTGGTGCTTGAGCAAATGCCACGAAAACCATGCCTGCCTTTTCTGTGCTACGTGCAAGCTGATTCATTTGAATGCTGCTTCTACCTCATATAAGGACCGCAATTTTTTTTTTTTTTTGGATAAAGAACAAGGACCTTAAATGTATTTTCCTGGGTTTTACTAGATTTTTGAGATTGTGAACCTGGCAAATGAGCTTCTTCCTCCGCTGCCTCAAGGGACGATCTCTCTTCCCACCAGCACTAATTTGTTGATTAAAGGATCTGTTGTGAAGAAATCTTCTGCTAGTGGTTCTACCAAACAGGAGGAGACGAATCTATCTACTCAAGAGGTTTCAGCTCGAGAAAAATTATTGAATGATCAACCTGAACTTCTGCAACAATTTGGAATGGATCTGCTTCCAGTGCTGATCCAGGTTGGTATCATAATCCATTGTAAATTACTACCACCATCTTACAACTGCCATGGTACAGATTTACAAGATGACCCCTGTTACTTGTTTTGCTGATCAGGTATATGGATCCAGTGTCAATAGTCCAGTTCGCCACAAGTGTCTCTCGGTTATTGGAAAACTTATGTACTTCAGCAGCGCAGATATGATTCAGTCTCTAAATAACATCACTAACATATCAAGGTATGAATATCAGCAAAATATATGCTTGAAATTTTTCATCAGATGTGGATCTTGGGGGAGAATGGTTTATCCATGGAACAATCTTTTATGTGCATCATATATCTTTGGTAGTGAAATTAGTGCTTCATTTGTAATTTCTCTGTAGTTTTTTGGCTGGAGTATTGGCCTGGAAGGATCCCCAAGTGCTGGTGCCTGCTCTTCAAGTTGCAGAAATTTTAATGGAAAAACTTCCTGGAATTTTTTCCAAGATGTTTGTGCGAGAAGGTGTTGTTCATGCTGTAGATGCTCTGATAGTGTCTGCGTCCCATAGTTCCGCTCCTTCCCAGCCATCATCTGCTGAGAAGGACAATGATTGTATACCTGGGTCATCTCGCTCTAGGCGTAATCGACGTCGTGGCAATAATTCAAATGCAGATGCAAGTTCCATTGAGGATCCTAAGAGTACAGTTCCGGGGAGTGGATCACCGCCAAACTCATTGGAAATTCCAAAGACCAGTTCTAACATTCGCATGGCAGTCAGTGCATGTGCTAAATCCTTCAAAGATAAATACTTCCCTTCAGATTCAGGGGCTACTGAAGTTGGCGTTACTGATGATCTTCTACGATTGAAGAATCTCAGTATGAAGTTGAACTCTGGTGTTGATGAACAATTATCTAAACCTAAAGGAAAATCAAAAGCTTCTGCTCCTCGGCTTGGAGATATTTCTGCCAGTAAGGAAGAGACCTTGGCCGAACTTGTAGCTTCCATGCTGGGGGAGCTCAGCAAAGGGGATGGTGTATCAACTTTCGAATTCATTGGAAGTGGAGTTGTTGCATCTTTGCTGAACTATTTTACATGTGGATTTTTTTCCAAGGAAAGAATCTCAGATGCTAATTTGTCTAGGCTTCGACAACAAGCAATCAGAAGATATAAGTCTTTTATCGCAGTTGCCCTTCCTGCTACTGTTGATAGTGGAAATATGGTTCCTATGACTGTTTTGGTTCAAAAGCTTCAAAATGCCTTATCTTCGTTGGAGCGGTTCCCTGTCGTGCTGAGTCATTCTTCCAGATCATCTACCGGAAATGCGCGACTTTCTTCAGGTTTAAGTGCTTTGTCGCAACCATTCAAGCTTCGCCTTTGCAGAGCTCAAGGGGACAAGACCCTCCGTGACTACTCCTCGAATGTTGTGTTGATTGATCCTTTAGCAAGTTTGGCGGCTATTGAAGACTTTCTTTGGCCTCGAGTTCAGCGAGTAGAGTCTGGACAAAAGGCCTTTGCATCAGTAGGCAACTCTGAGTCTGGGACCACCCCTGCAGGAGTTGGTGCTTCATGCCCATCTACATCTACTCCGGCTTCTGGATCTCGGCGTACACGATCTAGGTCAGCGGTTAACATAAATGACAGTGCAAAGAAAGACCCACCACAGGAAAAAAATGGAAGTTCTTCCAAGGGCAAAGGAAAGGCTGTTTTGAAGCCGGCTCAAGAAGATGGCAGAGGGCCCCAGACAAGAAATGCTGCTCGAAGACGAGCAGCCTTGGATAAAGAAGCAGAGGTGAAACCCGTGACCGGGGATTCTAGTTCTGAGGTATGTTTTTTCGCTCTATTACATGTGTCTAGTAGTTGGATTCATTTTTTCCAAAATACCTTTGGAGCAAAATTAGTCATTTCTTTACTTTGTTGAAGAATAATTGTTTAATAATAGCAAATTCCAGGAAAGACAGTATAGATGAATAAATAATATAAGAAAAATTACAAATGAACAGGAAGGAGAAATATGATTGAGATATTGGTATTTAATACTACAACTTCTTCATCAATTATTACACCTAACAAATAATTTTCTGTTTTTTATAGGTTAAATAATTCCCTATTCTATCTGTTAAATGAAGGCATTTTTTTCCCGTCCTATTTAAGTAGGGTAAAATGGTCTTTCCTCACCTAATCTCATGTTTCTCTAACCTAAGTGTGTTGCCTCAATAAAGTGAGTGCAAACTTGGAGACTAGGTTTCAAATTTTAGCTGAGACAAAAAAACCAACTTCTCTTCCAATTTGCTCGAGCCTCGGTGGGAGGGTTACTTGGTACCTGTGTTGGTGTGGTGCAGCAGGTACCTGGTCGACTCGAATAGTCGAGGTGTGCGCAAGCTGACCAAGGTACCTTCATTATTAAAAAATAGAAAACTCATGTTTCTCTATTTCCTACATCTTAAAAGCCCTCCTTGGACAGGGTGGCCTACCAATAATGATTAGTATATCATCTTTTTATCCAATAGAACTTTTGATATCCGGCGACTAAACGGCCTCTTATTGTAATTATGTCTTTCTTTATTTTTTTATTTTAACTTGAGAAATCCATTGAAAATGAATCGATAACTTTCCCGCAGAAGAAAGTTAATTCTTCCTCCAACAACAACAACAATAGCAAACCCAGTGTAATCCCACAAGTGGAATCTGGGGAGGGTAGTGTATATGCAGACCTTACCCCTACTTTGTGAAGGTAGAGAGGCTATTTCCGATAGACTCTCGGCTCAAGGAGAGAAGAAAGTTCATACTTCCTCCCAAATAAATATCGTGGTTTGGGAGTATGAAATGAAAGTTTGCAATTTTTTAGATTGATTTTGGACTGTGACCCGTTGATTCTCAAAAAATTTACCTGTATTGTCAGAAGTTATAGGCATCCACATGGCGGGTCTGTGAGATGATGTCATTGCCCGATAGACATCCACATGGCGGGTTCTTCACCGTCAATTAATCAACATGGTTGTTCATGTATTAAGCATTTCATTATATGCTCACCTTGAGAGATATCTGAAATTTTTAGGAACATATCCTTGTAAAAGTCAATTTTGACTGGATGATTCTTGTATGCACTCTTAATCGAGAGTTAGAGAAGCTGTAGACAATATGCAAAGGTGTAGGTAAGATTCATGAATCCCTTCATGTCTTGGAAATGCATTGATCATACGCAAGAAAGGGAATCGCTGCTAGACAGAAGCTTTGTAATTGGAAATGAACACACGGAATAATAAAAGATTTGAGTGTTACCATTATACCTCATTCTGGAAAAAAAGGAAATTCATTCTCAAAAGAGTGTTACCATTATACCTACAAGACAAATATACAAAAGGTCATGTTTTACCTCACGCCTAAATAAGATGCGTAAAATTTAACATCATGTTCTTATCCAACAAAAGTTTATTCTGTAAGTTAGGTACTTCTTGTGCATCACTTTCTCAATGTGTACTACTAACATTTGCTTCTAAATTTAATTCATCAGTTTAGAAGACACTTTTACTCTACATGTCTTTTACCCTTCCTCACCATTGATGACTAGGTGCAACTTGCACGCTAGACATGTGTCCATTTCATGTCATCTTCAAAATACAAATCTTCAATTAAACTATCATATCCTACATATATACTGTCATTAGTATGTCCCTGTCCCCTTTCTAGTGGGAGGTGAAAGTTCCAGGGTTTAGTATCTTGTCCTTCTCTTTTAAGAATGTATACCTTTTGTTTGCACATCTTGCTAATTCTTCTTTGACGTATTTATGCTGACTGATAAATTAATGACATGATTTAGCTTACTGGATCCCGAGTTAATTTATGAATCACTTACGTAGACGGTAGATCGGCTGAACATTGAGGTCTCAAAAATATTGAATGAAACAGAAAAATCCTTATTCAAAGTATTGATGTTTTCTCTAATTTTTACTGCCTACATTTTTCATCTCCTCATTGTTTGCTGATTGCATGACAATATGAACCTTGGCATTCCGCTGCTTTTTGTGATATTTAGGATGATGAGTTGGATATGTCACCTGTTGAAATTGATGATGCTTTGGTCATTGAGGATGACGATATATCTGATGATGATGAAGATGACCATGATGATGTAAGCTACTAAAATCTCATATTTTAAATTTCGAGTTCTGCCATTCTTCTAATTGCTTAGATCGTTGAGAGCAGATCTGCATTCCCGATGTGCATGTTTTCAATCGCTTCTCCACAGATCTAATTGATCAGCTCTTTTAATTTTTTGCACAGCTGTATTAAAGATGATTTTCTGAAATTGTTGCCAATGCTTTAGGTCTTGAGAGATGATTCTCTTCCTGTTTGCATGCCGGACAAAGTTCATGATGTTAAATTGGGTGATTCTTCAGAGGAGAATCCTGCCGCACAGACGGCAAATGATAGCCAGACAAATGCAGGTGGTGGTTCTAGCAGCAGAGCTGCTTCTGCTCAAGGATCTGAATCCGTTGAGTTCAGGAGTGGGAGTTCTTATGGTTCAAGGGGTGCAATGTCATTTGCTGCTGCTGCCATGGCCGGACTTGCATCTGCTAATGGTAGAGGTGTGAGAGGGGCTAGAGAACGCCATGGACGCCCTCTCTTTAGCACTAGTGATCCACCCAGACTTGTATTTTCTGCAGGTGGAAAGCAGCTTAATAGGCACTTGACTATCTACCAGGCTATCCAGCGACAGCTTGTCCTTGATGAGGATGATGAAGAGAGATATGGTGGCACTGACTTTGTATCTAGTGAC